GCAAATATTTTGCACTGCGAATCAAAAATTGGTTCAATCTATTAGTCATTCAATTGACGTCGCCTCTTTGTTTTTGCAGAATTATGAGCCTAGCGGTTTTCTTATAATGACCATTTTACCCAAACCCCTTTAAAAATAGCAGTCTCAAAAGTTTGCGTACAGCAAAGAAGATCGTCATTTAATGTCAAATGCAATTCTATTTTTGTTTAAAGTTCGCTTTGATTCTTTGATTAATCAATTTTTAATGGGTAATATATGCACTTGTCACTATGGTGTCTAAGGGAAAGCAGATATGCGCTTACGAAAGAAAAATCTTACTTAAACTGCATCTTAAAGGCAAAAGCTACAGGAAGATTGGAAAAACCATTGGCAGATCGCAGTCATCTGCTCAAAGAGTTATTACCAATTACGCAAAGTCGGGATCTATCTTATCAGCGCCCAGATCTGGCCGTCCAAGCAAGTTAAGGGGGTCTTCTCATTCAAAACCCGTTTTTTGGACCCTTTTTAAAAAAATTCTTATTTGAAAACGCAAAGAATAATTGAAAACTTTTTTTATTTTTTGTATTAAAAAATGTTCAAAGTAAAAAAAAAAATTGTTTTTGTCTCGATACGAGGGTTGTCTCCAGAGCGTCCGAAATGAAAAAAAAATAACGGGGTTATAATCAGAATAGATGTCATTTTCGGGTGACGGAACAGATTTTTTTTTAAATTTTTTTAAACAAAATGGCGGCCATTCAAAAAAAATTTCGATTTCGGGCTTTTTGCCCAATGAGAAGACCCCCTTAATGAAAAGAGAAAAATCCAAAATTCTCCAACTAGTCCAGAATAATCCAAAATTAACAGCGCACAAGCTTAAACTGGAAGGTGAGGAATGGTTTTCCAAAACCGTATCAGATAATACCATACGATGGGCAAGAAAAAAATGTGGATATAAAAGCCGCGTGGCCAGAAGGAAACCATTTATTTCCAAAACTAATAAGAAAAAGCGATTGGATTTTGCTAATGACCACATAACGAAGCCATCTGAGTTGGGAATAAAGTCATTTTTTCGGACAAAAGCAAGCAAAAAATTTGTGTGGCGGAAGAGTGCCTTGGAAAAGCAAACTTTAATGCCTACCGTAAAACATGGAGGAGGCGGAGTTATGATATGGGGATGTATGGCGGCCAACGGCGTGGAAAATCTTTCCTTTATAGACTCAATTATGGACTATATTGACATACTGAAGGCTAATTTGGTTGAAAGTGATAGACGGTTAGGTCTGGAAGGGAACTTTATTTTTCAACAAGATAATGACCCGAAACACACTGCCCAGAATGTCAAGCTTTAGCTTCTGTATAATACAAAAAAAAAAAAACAGTTGCGAACTCCTCCATAATCACCAGACTTGAATCCAATCGAACATTTGTGGGATCTTTTGGAGCGTCTTATACGGAAACGCATCATTACATCCACACCCATGCTAAAGGCTGTAATCTTAGAGGAATGGCAGAAAATAACAGCAGAGGATACAAGAAAACTAGTGGAATCGATGCCTAAACGTCTGAGGGAAGTTTTGAAGACTAAGGGCTACCCGACAAGTTACTAATCTGTAAATAAAAGACGATCTTCTTTGCTGTACGCACACTTTTGAGAATGCTATTTTTAAAGGGGTTTGGGTAAAATGGTCATTATAAGAAAACCGCTAGGCTCATAATTCTGCAAAAATAAAGAGGCGAAGTCAATTGAATGACTAATAGATTGAACCAATTTTTGATTCGCAGTGCAAAATATTTGCAGTTATTTGACATTAAAGTCAATGTTATGATTTTTTATTGTCCTGTACGCAGAGATATGAGAGCAAGTGTATAAGCAAATCAATAAGTATTTATTCAGCGTTCAGCATTTTCGCTTGCATTTCCTATACAAGTTTCTTGATCAGGTTGTCCCTCTACTCCCTTATTGCACACTTTTGCTCTGGATACGGCAAGAGACCTCGCTATTGAGGATCCCAAGGCGTTCAGGGCAATCCCTGAATTTTGAAGCTCCTTGAAGTTTGCTGAATACATTGCAGCCAAATCCATGAACTTCATCTTTATGTTGGTCCATTGATGATATTATCAGGCTCTCGTCGTTGTTCATCTTCGTAATTTTTGTTGTTTCAAATTATTTCAAACAAGCTGTCAAAAACTAACGCAAGTTTTGTAGAATGAACATGCGCCTTGCGTTAATTTAGATTTCGATAGGTAACTTAGGTTGGTGTAAATATATGTCATTTCGTTCACCCGTAGTCAAGCTAGCAAGTTCTGTTCACCTGCGCAGTCTCTAATTATATGTGGCATCACACCACTTTTCCTTTGGCCCTTTCTCACTTTTCACTCAGCCGAAAATCCTAGACAATATCTAGCTGTCTCTCTTTCCTATTGTTGCGACAGACGAACAGACCTCACTCGGTAACAGACTGTCTTCTGTCCTTGTCCTGCTACCCGCTGTCATTGCGCCAGCGACACCTACAGGGCTACAAATACCTGAGCATGCCGAATAATTCTGTTGCGATGGCAACAAGCATTCCAATTTTGCACTTGGCAACCAACTCGCCGACATATACTATTAGGTTAGTATCAAGTATATCCACCCATATTCTAGGCTACTTTCGCTATTATTTTTGGCACCGGTTTCTTCAGCAAATCTTCACGAATCTTAAAAATTTTGGAATATGTTGACTTGAAGTGTATATGATTCTTTTTAATATTTGTATGGAAGCTTGTGGGACATAACTAATAAAATTTAAAAGATTTACTTAAAATAGGTTTAAAACTGTTAGTTTAAAGTTTCATTAAAATATCTAATCATGTTCTCGAAATATTAATAAAAATCTGCTACCAGGGCTACTAGACCCACTCTTCGTCTGCCCTCTTCTACGCAAACTGGTCCCTCAGTTTTAAAGCTAAATAAAACTTTGCAGATAGTTTTCTAACTACTTTCACTAGTCTATAAGTTTTCAGCATATATGTATGTAAGATGAGTAGATAACTCCGCTTAGCTGATTTTTTATTATTGTAAGTTTTTTAAATTATATTTTTTTTTGATTATTGCAAGATTTGCGTCTTTTCTGCGTCTTCCCTGTCAACTCCTAGCTCCCAGCCTGCTCCGTTCAATACCCCTTTCACATGTATATATTTATAATTGCAAACTTAAAGGGGGTATACAAACATTGGCGTTCCGATGTATTCATCTTTTCTGGTTTTCGTTAGATATCGATATAGACCCCAAAAATATATAAGGAAATTAAACTTTTTTGATAAGATTCGGCGGTTACCCAAAGTTTATATTCTTTCTGGTAAAATTTATTAGCGAATATGCCCATATTATTAGGGTACCTAGCGCGAAAAGTAGCAAAAGACCAAATATTCTTCCTGGGCCGAAATGAAATGATCGCACACATGCACCCGTGTACGTGAATGCATGAATACGCATACATGTAAAGGCCTGACGCTAACAGCTAACATGGGACGGGTCGCTAACAGCTAAAATCTAACAGACGGTCTGTCGCTAACAGCAAACAGTTAACATGGGACCGCTCGCTAAGAAATTTTTGTGTCCATTTTCGTTGTATGAAATGACCAGTCTATATGTTGTATGGTTAGTGCTTAAACTTATGAATGAGGGGTAAGGCAGATAGTCTTAAATCTTTAACAGTAATATTTATTATTATTATTTTAATCGGTGCACAATATTTTTGGTTAACCTGTCTTTAGCTAACACAAATAGATTCGACGGTTTTCCTACACGTGAACATGCAACATATAGTTGTTGAGAAAAACATGGATTTTCCAAATGTACACCACAAATGGACATTTGTCCTTGAGACTTATTTATAGACATGGCAAAAGCTAAACGAATTGGAAACTGTAGCCTTTTGATGGGTATAGTGGAATCTGACGGTATCATTGGAATACGTGGCAACAGGACCACTGTTCCTTTAAACTTCCCAGTCAAAATGTTTGCGTCAAGTATATTTTCGGTGATCTCTTTGATGACCAAACGCGTACCGTTGCATAGTTGAGGGGGATTATGGGTTATCGAAGATTATGTGGTGGCATTCCCAGTATATCTAGTGAATTTAAAAATTCAGTTGGAAAATTTAGACTTTTATTTTTATCAACAACAGTAAAGATTGACTGTGGTATCTGGAAGTTAATTTCGTCAACATCAACATTTTTGGCTGCCAAAATAGCCCAATGAATAAGCCAGTGATTATTCAAGTAATTATTCTGTATGTCCGGAAAAATACTCTCAATCAATTCATATTTATCCTGAAGAACAGTGCAAAAATTGTCTTGCAACAGTCTACCTGCATGTTCACCTAATGGTACTTTATTGGCTTTTATGACGATATACTTGATAGTTGTCATTTTGCAATTGTGGCGAAACTCTTTTAATCAATCGAATTAGTTGATTCTGACCTTTAAACAAAATTTCCGGTAACATCACAATTGCTCTTTCCTCTGCTGCTTCTTCTATGAAATTATACTATCACCCAGTCGTCCGCGCTCTTTACATTTTTTTTTTTTCGGTAATAGTCGAGCCATATCATAGTAAAGCGGCCCATCCACAGTAGAACATGTTAACCGAGCCCGAGCATGTTGAGCTCGACGCAATTTTCGTTAGTGGTAGTGCTCACTTGTGCTCCCAACAACATGCTCGACAATGGATGGCAACGTTAGCACGAACATCATTTGTGTACTAGAGAGAACACGTGCAAGAATTAATTTTTTGCGCTTTCTCTTTTATTTTTATTTTTTCTAAGCAAATGCCATCAGTGCAACTACAGTGCCGCTGTCGTTATCCGTTGACATGTTGACTGCTTGAAAATTTGGCACTAGTTGGTGGGCAAATGAAATTCAAGTTGGCGAGCATGTTCGCCAACATGATCGCCTGTGGATGGCCTGCTTAAACCAGGGCAAAAAGTTTTACTCGTTAAATTTCTGTTATATAACCTTTACATTTAATTTATATACAGTGTCTGGTGACCATCATCTCGTGAAAAGGCGATACTACCAAAACGAAAGAACCGAACATAATTTTGATTGCTATTTAACGCCGATAGAATGCAGTTCCAATATACCTATACCGATTCTAGACGACCACTCGCACATGCCCCCGTCGCAAATATATATTGATCAGTAAGAACTATAATTAATTAATTAAATATAAATTCTAAGATATCATTTTAATTTCAGAATGACTTCAACGAATATTTCACCGGAATATCCACAACTAAAGGTCAAAGAACATTCAATTGAAAACAGTCAAGTTAAAACTAAAACTATAAACTCGCTTAAAAATGTGGACAACATATTTCCGGAAAATCTTGAAAAAGAAATAGTGTTTAATACAAATGAAACAAAAGAGAAAATGGAATCATTTCAATCTCATGAAGATGATTTTCGTAAGCAACAGGCACTCAACTATAATTCATTTTGTGATATTATACATCCGGCAGAAAAACCCTTTCAAAATATAGCTGAAGACTTACCGCAAGATTTGGGGTCTTTAACTTTTAATTTAGAATCAGTAAATGTTCAAAATGTGTCTTTTACAAATGATCAGCCACATAAGGCAATTACAACAAGTCAAATCGAAAACCCTTCAATACCACATCCAAAAAATAAGGCAACACAAGCTATTGAAGAACTCGAGGCAAATCACCAAGAAACGCAACCAAGTGCGAACTCAATTTTAAATAGTAACAGACTTTCATATAGCTCTGACCTCCAACCGAATTTACATGTGGCTTCAACCACTACATCGACGTCTACGTCATCAAGTGGCAAGTCTCAGGTCCGGGTATGTATAAATCGCCTTAAAATTGAGGATACCTGTCTTATGCAGCACAGTATTAAAAAGTTTGTACAAAAGTCACCAGAATTGGCTAGAAGTTTGGGGTTACTACAAGAATCAACTCATCAACCACTTGAAACCTTGAAAATGCTGCCTAAATTTCTGGACCCGGTAACTTCGAGCGGTGGAACGACTGTTATATCTTCAATTGATTCGTTTTCGAGTATAAAAGCTGATGAAAGGAATATATCTGGTAAACGAAAGCAGGCGATATCCATTGGTGATATCCCACCGGAACAAATTTGTAAGCATATTTATTTTAATGATTTCTTATTTCTTATAAATATAAATTTTTTACTTTTATATAATCTATAGTCTCTAAACCCAAAGTTCGCCGCGTTGAAAGAATATTGCCTATGTCAAATCAACAATTTCTGAAGGATGAAGTAATTCGCTCCCAAACATATCAACAATTTATTCGGAATATGGAACAAATAATTGAAATTTTGGACGATACTGAGTCTCCGAATTTTGATTCAGGTATGCAACATAAAAAGTTTAATCTTAATGTAGTAACGCTTGCAAAACATATGGCGCTAGAAAACATACATTAATAATAGGAAAAAAGCACCTTATGCTATTATGACAGCACTGCATTAATTATAGGTTTTATTAAAGATTTGACAGCATTGACATACGAAATTTACATAAGTTCAAGCAAGATGAATATAGGGCCCTTTAAATGAAGCATTTAATGGATTGAGAAAATCGATACATCTAAAAAAAATACTAGATGGCATATGAGAGCGATAGCAAATATACTGCTCTATAAAACAAACATTTTATCATAAAAGTGTATTATTATTGTTTATTCAATTATCTGTTTGTCTGTGCACCGTGGTCGAAGGTTTGTGATAATGGTGTCAAATATTGTCTGCGCAATTAAAGGCTGCCAAAAAGATGTTTTGGCAGATCAGCCCAGCCTTTATTGCTGGCTTTGCGATGCGGTCGTACACGCTAAGTGTCTTGACTTAACGGGCCGTATAGCAAATTTAATTTCGGGGGAAAAAAAAAATGGTTTTCATTACTTTTGCCATGCCTGCAGTGATGATGAGAAGGAAAAGTTATCCTTCATGCGCCGGACCTGAAGCGGATTTAATGAACTTGGTGTCAATTTTCGCAAAGCGAATAAACTGTTCTCAGAGCTGGACAATCAATTTAACAGGTCAAAGCTTGTTGGGTCAAACCCAATTGTATTAAAAACAGCCAAGACTCAGCTAATATTACGTTGTCACATTTGACTGCAGCTGAGCTCTCCGGCTCCGCTACAGAGGCTTTTTTTATGATTACAACTTTACTTTGTTCTGGGCACTCTTGTCGACATCAAGCTGAGCTGAACTGATTACTGAATATAATTTAATGTCACATCCTATTAATTAATTAAATAAATCAATAATAAGCTTTTAATTAAACAAAGCTGTTAAATGAGTCGCCAAAGCCTAAAAAATCAGCTTCTGGTCGGCACACCTCCTCGGTCCAGCCGCCGACCCCAAGACCAGCTGCAAAGGTGTTGAGTTCGGGAGCGGTTAAAGATTCGGCAACCGAAGGTGCCGGGATGGAATTGGCAGCAGCTCCGCCAGTTATATCCCTCAAGTCTGCTGCGGTGTCTTAATCTCTAATACCGCAGACTTCAAAAAAATTGTCATCTATTCCACAGGGTAAAAGTCTCGGACCACCAGCTGAAGTTGGTAATGCTGCATTACCAAAGACCCTTACCGCTGTTCCACCACTAAAAACAATATTTGCTTCCCGGCTTGCCCCTGACCCCGCATCGGAAGATGTACTTGCCCATATACTGAGCAAAAAACCAGCCGAAAATGTGAAAGTGGAAAAACTCAATTTGTCATACCCCGAGACATCACATCGTTAAGGGGTTATATAAAGTTGTACCGCGCAAAAAATGAAATTTTATAGATTTTTTTTTTGACACCATAACAAATATTTATTAAAAATGTTTTGCCGACGTTTAGTACATGTTTCTGGGTACTTATTAAAATTTTTTCATAAAAAAATATTAAATAATAAAAATGTTATGGCCGAATTCCAAGATCGTTTTTTTTCGATGGTGACTTGCGGTGGACATCATATCCCGAGAACGGTTCATCAGAAATCAAAGATTCAAAAAAATTTCGTTAGTCCCTGAACGAAGGATTTGTAAAAATTTTGATAAAAAAAATGTCGATGGTTTAAACAAAAAATGTACTATGTCAAGGTATACGATTTTTCGTTCGCTATAAATAGCTACAACTTCGGTGCTAATGCTCCGATCGTTATGAATTTTTGTGAGAGTATTCTGAACAGTATATACTTTCATACCTGTATATAACCCCTTAAAGATAAGTGTCTTCCTCGATCTCGATTTGTGGCCTGAACACGCTGTAGTTAAGGGGGGATATACATGAAAACGGTCAAAATGTTGGCATTTTTCGTGAATTTTTTAATGTAGGAAATTGCGAAGCAATCTTCGTCAAACTTTTGAAATAGTTAAAAGTGGCATAGGAGATAATACAAAAATGTTGTTATAAACAATATTTTACAAAATGGCGGACTTATGGAAAATATTCCGCAAAGCCTCGAACTTTGAGTTTCCCGGCTATGGACACGATAGAGCGCGTAATTTGTGTCGGAAATCCTCAAACAAAAATGTTTTGTATTCATTATACCTTCACCTTCTATTTGAACCTAAAAAACCAAAAAGAAATTGTGACAAAAAAAATTAAATTTTGGTTTGAAGGGAAAAATGTCATTCTCAGATTTCACTTCCCATCCTCTTAAAAAATAGTAATTCTCATTTTTATTACTCCGATTTAGGTATAGAAGATAATTTCTTGCTGATCATAATAATTTTTGATTCACTCTGATATGTTATATTGTTTTTTGTGTGTCGTGTCGTAGCATAGGTAAAAATGCAGAAATTTAAAGCTGAGAAAAAAAAAAATTGGTCAAAAAATTTTGGTTTACACATATATCCCCCCTTAAGGGGTTATATACAGCTGTGATAGTCGAAAAAATCGATTTTTTTTATTATTGCATATTCTTAAAGTATATACTGTTGAGAATACTCTCACCAAAATTCATAGCGATCGGAGCATTAGAACCGAAGTTGTGGCTATTTATAGCGCACGACCTGCACGTCGCACTATGGTTTTTTTCGCGTTTTTTTTTGCATAAACTCTAATTTTAAACCTATTGATCTGAAATTTGGTATGTATACATTTTTTAAGCTTCTATGATGGCCTACCAAATTTCAAATGATTTGGGGCACTATTTCATATAGCTGCCATATAACCGATCTGGCCGATTTGCACCAACTTTTTTGTTTTTCAAGCTATTGCTTTGAAATTTGGTTTGTATAAATTTTTTAAGCTCCCAAGATGACCTACCAAGTTTCAAATGATTTGGTTATATTTAAAAAAAAAAATTTTTTTTGGGCGAATGGGCCAGATCTGTTATATGGCAGCTATATGAAATAGTGCCCCAAATCATTTGAAACTTGGTAGGTCTTCTTGAAAGCTTAAAAAAGGTATTCAAACGAAATTTCAATACAATAGACCTAAAATTGGAGTTTATAGAAAAAAAAACGGAAAAAAACCATACTGATATGGTACTAGAAAATGTTGATTTTTTCGAAAACGTGTGGATTCGGACAAAAACGGTTAGTTTCTCATTAATCTGCACACTTTGGTTAATAGTTTCTCATTTACAACTTTTTGCAACTCTTTGCCATGCAAAAGTACTGATCCACGAAACACAGCTACACTTGTTAAGCTCGCTCTAAAAATACACGTAAACAAAAGACGGTACAATTGGACAAAAACACATAACAACGACAGAAACATTGGTAAACTTTAGTTTTATATACCTGGACAGTCGTTTTCCATATTTATTCATTTAACTTCTTCGTAAACTTTTGCCACAACAAACTATCAAAGTCGCACAATTTTTCGCGCCAATTTCATACAAAACAGCTGCTACATAATCAGCTGACTTTAACAGCTGGCCAGCAGAACAGTGTTGCTCCATATGTTAAAGTTACATATTTTTTTATTTGTCTAGGGTATTTAAAAATTAAAAATAAAAAAAATTTTAAGATACATAAAAATAAAAAAATTGACTTTATGCCAAAAAAAAACGCGAAAAAAACCATAGTGCGTCGGTCGAAACAAACTTGAAACTTTAAACGCGATTATCTCAGAATCGTTTTTTTTCGAAGTTACCTTTGCGGTGGACACGATTACTCAAAAACTATTAATTCGATCAACACCAAATTTTGACTACTTATTTATTATAATAAAAACTAGTCCGTGAACGAAGGATTTTCAATTTTTTTGAAAACTTCCTTTTTAGAGCATAAAAACGGAAAATTTTACCCCTTAAAAAGGACATTTTTTGTTAAAATCGTCGCCATTTTTTTAAGTCAAAATTTTTACAAATCCTTCGTTCACGGACTAGACAATACAATATACTAACGAAATTTTTTTGAATTTTTGATTTCTGATGAACCGTTCTCTGGATATGATGTCCACCGCAAGTCACTATCGGAAAAAGAGGGTATTTGAATTCGGCAATAACTTTTTTATTAGTTAATATTTTTTTATAAAAAAAATTTTAATAAGTACCCAGAAAAATGTACTAAACAACGTCGGTAAAACATTTTTAATGAATATTCTTTATGGTGTCAAAAAAAATCGACAAAACTTCATATTTTTGCGCGGTACAACTGTATATAACCCCTTAAGGAGTACGAGAAGGAAATAAAGAAAAAACGGCCTGTGGGAGTAAGACCTCCAAGGCCGTCACAAACCACATCGACCATAGGTGCCATAAAACTAATTACCTCCCTCCTAAAGGGTGCGCCATCTTTTATGTCGGTAAACATTGTAAACATTGAATATCTTTGAAAATAAACAACCGATTTTCAAGTATGAGATATTTTTATTTAATGTGGTTTCCTCGTTTTTTTTTTTAATGTAATTTCATTCTAACTCGTCTATATAGTTAGCGATTCGTGTCGTACGTCACACGGCTGTGCCCCTCGGTGGGTTGGCCGGTGGATGGAAGCGGTAGTGCCATATCTGATAATGAAAATATGTAAAAAAACAGCCAAGTTATAATATTTTTTTCTGAAAAATTTGTCGAACATTTGTATGGCATCTATATGATATAGTCGTCCGATCCGGCTCGTTCGGACATATATAAGAGTAAGAGTATTTAGAAGACTATATACAAAGTTTCATCCAGATAGCTTTAAAACTGAGGGACTAGTTTGAGTAGAAATGGACAAATGAACAGATGGACATGGCTAGATCGACCCGACTGTTGATGCTGATCAAGAATATATTATATATTAAAGATAATGATTTATACATATACAACTAGATTGGTTTTATTAAAATTCGGAAAACCTACTTCTTAAATCGTGTAAATAACAATATTTAAAATTTGAAATAATTAATATAATTTGGAGCCTAGGTATCTCA